ATTGCAAGATTTAGCCGCTGCCACCGCTGCAATTTGAAAGCAACTATCCCAAACCATTGTTCACGGGTATTCACACATTCTTACACTAACGGCTCGCATGTTTATTTTAATTCACTCCGCTATTTTGAGTATGACTGATATTTGAAGTTTGTATGCACTTTGTTGCATCCAGTGTGACTAATACTTCAGATTTGCATGCTGAGCCTATCGTCTCTTAATGTGATTATTTGATATTTAGGTGCCTCAAGGCTTTTTCCCAGCGCTTAATCATTAGAAGAAACTTTCGGCAGTAGCCTTTGTGTGCTTGTTTTGATGCATCCCTGACGTTGTGTGTCTGTCTCCGACACCAGTTTCCCACAGCAATTCTCCAAAGGGAAGATTAGCCTCGGGGGAACTTTGCCGAACCACGAGCATCAATCACCATTCATCGGCTGCACTCCAAAATTTCTTGTTCACCAGGTACTTGAAACTCCCTTTTTTTCCCCGCAATGTTCAATTGCTACAAGAAGCTTTGGTCGAGATTTCTTTCCAAATAAATTCTCAAAACACCATTTGAGAATGAAGCCTGGGTCTCGACTGAAAGACTAAAACGGACCGAATGGAGCTTGGCTCGAAATATTATTTGTGCCCCTTTTTTTTTCTTTTTTCTTTTTTTTTTCTTTTAAATATTATTCGAGATCATGTATGCCCTTTAAATATATATATATATATATATATATATATATTTTTTTTTTTTTTTTGAGAATGAAGATTGGCTCAAAATATTAGTTTTGAGCTATTCCCCAGGGCTAAAAATTTAATCTCAATTTTTGTACCTTTTTTTTTTGTTTTTTTTGTTTTTTTTCCTTTTTGTTTGTTTTGTTTTGAGTCATTTTTTTTGTTTTCTTTTTGTTTTGTTTTTTTTTGTTTTGTTTCCTTTTTTTTGTTTGTTTGTTTTGTTTGTTTGTTTGCTCATTTACTAGGGTAATACCAAATATGATAATTGAGAACCCTTTTTTTTTTTTTTTTTTTGAACAATACCAAATATGATATTTGAGCCCCTTTTTTTTTACTACCAAATATGGTATTTGAGCCCTTTTTTTCTTCTTTTTTTTTTTTTGAACAATACCAAATATGATATTTGAGCCCTCTTTTTTCATCTATGAGGGTAATACCAAACATGGTATTTGAGCCCCCCTTTTTTTTTCTCATCTATTGGGACAATACCAAATATGATATTTGAGCAGAAATTTCCCTTCTTTTTGTTAGAACTCTAACCTCAAACTCTTTTTTTTTTTTTTTTTTTTTTTGCCCCCTCAAATATTCCTACTATACATGATTTTGATCTAAACTTTGTCAACTTGCTTCTTTGTAAACAACTCAAGCCGCGCTTGAAGAGGGATTCGAAACAATTCCGGGGATTTGAGAAGAGGCAACCAATTAGGTAATTTTAATTACCAAACTTCTTGCACGAATCTCCTGGATCCTCTAATATTTTCTTTTTTCAAAATTCCAGCAATCATGCAAATTAAGGACTACGCCGTGCCAGTGCCGCATATTTCACTGACGGATGAAAGGGGAGGGCCTCAATCAAAGAGCTTGTCGCTACATGTGTATAAACCAGCTGTTGGGGCGCTCGCCGAATCTTTTATACCCCTTGAAGAAAGCTTTCATCTCGAAGAATTGGACTAGCAAGTGGACCAAGGAAGTGGTGGCACCGTCGACTTACTCCACTACATCGAGGGAAGAAGAAGTGGTCGTATTAAACTCGTCACTTCACAATGGAGATCCAGAAATAGCCAAATTCACGCTTCCGTTCGTGGGCTTCAATGTTGACAAAGCTACATGGAAAACCCCTTCGTCCTTCTTTGGTGAGGCGTGCTTCACTTCTCATTATTGGGAGTGGGTTGAGGACATGCTTGGAAGGTATAAAGACGTACTCACACGCGCTGGCATATTTGAAGCCGTCTACGCGTCGAGATACTCCTACGACCGCTGTGAAAATATCTTGCGAGCCTTCTTCAAATATTGGTGTCCCTCGACGAACACACTTCATACGCCCGTTGGGGAGTTGTCCATCACACTTTGGGACCTTTATCGACTCGGTGGCCTTTCGATCGACGGCACATTTTTCGATGAAGTTGTTCCTTCGGCGCGGGAGCTCCTCACTCGCGACAAAGAAGGGAAACCACTTCTCCCTGAGAGTTGCAGGCATCTTTTTTCGGCTTACTACCACCTCTGGACGAATGACCAAGGGGTATGGATGAAGGACTGGATTCGCTTCTGGTTCAAAGGAGAGGCTAGGTATAGGGCTCCTCCGAGTAGAGCGAATAGAAGAAAGACTACATCTAAACCAAAAATGACTTACAACCCTTCTGGAAGCGTGGAGCCTTACGACCTTGCCGATACGAATGACTTCAATGTCCCTTTTGACACCCTGGGTATCCCAGGGTCTCTAAGAAAGGAAACCTATATTGCGGCATTCATAGCGTGTTGGATTTGCAAGTTCCTTTTGCCAAGCAAAAAGGTCGACCGTATTCGCCCAAGTGTTTTCAAGGTTGCATGCTTAATGGCTACAGGGAAAAGATTTTGTCTTGCAATTCCCGTCCTTGCGAGCATATATCATGGGTTGAGGGAGATCGTCCACGCCCCTAACCTTGGAGAATGTGGGGTAACTTTTCCAATCCATTACGTCTATGCTTGGATTGGCCAATACTTCGATGTATACTACGAAAACCATCAAGTGAGTAGCCACCACGCGCGCATGACAAGATTTAGTGGTGAGAAAATGGCAATATTTTATGGCCAATTGGAAGCTGAGGAAATTTTCAAAGAAACGAATCCTTTGATGCTTCCTAAATCGTGCTGGACTGAGAATGAAGAAAAGGCGTTGATCGATGACGGATCCTTATCATCAAGACTCACGAGCTACTTCATTAGTCAACGCTCTTGCCATTTAACTCTACGTAAGGACAATACTTTCATTACTGAAAAATATAATCCTTGCAGGTTCAGCAGGCAATTCGGTTTTTGTCAGGACATCCCCAACAACTTGAAAGAGATCACTCACACTTATACCTTAGGTGAAGCTATTCAACTATGGGATTCCTCAGTTCGCACGCAGACGCGGTCTCGGATGACTATACCCATGCACAGGAAGCATCCATTGATCACAAAAGACTATGATGCCTGGTGGTCGACTCGGTCAAATAGTGTCTCTTCAACTCCCTTAAAATTCACCGTTAAGATCCCTCAGCAATCAGTGAAGAAGGGTAAGGTTACCTCCGCCAACGAGTCAGTGCATCCTAATGGAGTTATAGAGATTGTAACGGGTCTTACCTCATCCACCTTGCGGAAGAACAAAACATTAGCAGCCCCTTGGAAAACGTTGTTACAAGAAATAAGTCTTCCAAGGACTCTCGACAGGCCATCAAAGAGGCGCAACCAGTGATTCCAGCAAAGAAGATGCCGCCCAAGGTTTCAAAATCTTTATCAGTGACTCACACTGAAGAAGACGTCGAAATTGAAACGATGGACGATCGTGGTTCTCTCGAGGCTATAGGACAAGAAGGGACTCAAGCTCAGGGCATCGAATCTACCCAAAGAGGAACCCATTCGTTGGCAAGCGGCAGTAGTAGCCAAGACCGTCATTGGAACCGATCGAAAAAGAGGACATCTTCTGATTTGGAGAAAATTTCCTTTTCACCACCGTCGGTTGGAGTGCCGCCACTTAAGGTAATCATATTTTCCCTTATTTTTTTTTTTTTAAAAAAACCCTCAAAACATTTTTTTTTTTCAGCCCCCACTTCTTGAATTCCACCAAGAAAATGTTGGTACCAATTCACCACTTGAACTTGAGACTGACGCTATAATTTCAAACAAGAAAGGTGACGAAGTCGTTATCAGCATCCCAAAGCAACTTGCCCCCAGTGGAGGCGCTTTGTCAAAGAAGGAGCTGACTAATTTGCACGAAATCCGGAAAAAACCTAAGGTAGCATTGGTTTCAGAATTTCATGGTCAAAAATTGATCCAGGCGCATCGAATGAAGTACTTGCAGAGTTTGTGGATGGATTTTCGCTGACAGATTCTTGACACTCCAACTGAGCAGATCTCTTCTTTAAAAGAGTGTGCAGAGGAAATCATTGTGGAAATCACAAGAACGGATCCTACCAATGGTCTCCCTTTAAAAGATCACTTGATGGAATTGTTTGCCAAGGCGGAGGCATATGATGTTCTGACATCCTCATCGTGGGAAAGGATGAGCAAAGAAACACATGCAGAACTCCTTTCCAACGCGACCGTCCAACTCAAGAGAGTTAAGGCAAAGGAAGAAGGACTAACTTGTCACTTGCAAAGTCTTGAAGAAAAGTTGCAGTCCATTGAAGAAAGGAAGAAGGTTCTGCAACAGGAACTCATCAGTTTGGAGAAACAAGGCCTAGAAATCAGTTCGACTATCGATCAAAAGTATGAGACCTTCAAGGAGATCCAGGCTGAAATAACCCAAGCGCATGATGAGCTATCTTCCATTGAAAATACTAGCATCATGACTGATAACGCAATGAAGGAACTTGAAGACATGAAGTCTGCACTTGAATCATATAAAGTAGCTGTAGTGGAATACAAATTTGATATTTAGACTTTCCACCATGTTCTTCTTTTCCTTGAATTATTTTATCACTCATTTTTTCCATGTAATGAGTTTTCTTTTGAATAATAAAATGCTTTTCATTTCTTATCTCATGTTTTTTTTTTTTTTTTTTTAAGGGACAAGGATTTGATTTGGAGCGGTGTAACTAAACTTAGAGGATGCCCTCCAAGCTGCCTACGTATCCCAACAAGGGAATCAAGTCACACGTAGTTCCTGCCGTTCGCATTTTAACCTCATGCGGGCCAGGAGTATCTATTTGTTTACCACCTTAGACTTAGTGGAGTGTTTCAGCAGTTTAACCACATACTACACTGTTGGTGGTTGCCATCCACAGTTTTAGCTCATGCGGGCCAGGAGCATCGCGCGGTTCCGATTATGCATAGTACCTTTTTAGGTACTTGCCATTGATGGGGCCAACCCTTAATCCATCTTCGGCAACCAACTTGTATGAGCCATTTGTATATACTTCTCGAATGACATATGGACCATCCCACTTAGGAGTAAACTTTCTTTGTCCGCCATGAGTGAGAATGATTGGTCTCCGAACGGCGAGCACTAACTCTCCAATTTGAAAAGAGCGGGGTCGAACGTGCTTATTGAATGCCTTTGAAAGGCGAGCCTGATAACACTCAATCCGTTGCTGAGCTTCCAATCTCTTTTCGTCGAGTGCTTCTAATTCCTCAAGGCGAAGACGAACATTATCTTCTCCACTGAGCCCTTCTTGAATTGCAATTCTTAGCGAAGGTATTTGACACTCAAGTGGAAGAACAGCTTCAACACCGTAAACAAGCGCATATGGGGTTGCTTGTGTGGGAGTTCGAAAAGTGGTTCGGTATGCCCAAAGCGCTTCTCCAATCCGAAGATGCCAATCCCTTTTCGATTTATCCACGATTTTCTTCAACAGATTACATAAGGTCTTGTTGAATGCTTCAGCGAGTCCATTTGCGGCAGCGTAGTACATGGACGAATTGTATTGTTTGAAATGAAACTTTTCGCAAAGTTTGTTCATTGCTACATTGCTAAAAGGTCTACCATTATCGGTGATGATATAACGCGGGACCCCATATCGATAAATGATGTGCGAGCGGATAAAATCTACTACATTCTCCTTTTTGACCTCTCTTAGAGGAACCGCTTCGGCCCACTTTGAGAAATAATCCGTCGCTGCCAAAATAAAAATGTGTCCTCCAGAAGATTTTGGAAGCGGTCCAACTATATCCAAACCCCAAGCATCGAACGGCCAAGAAGCTACAGTTGGATGCAATGGTTCAGGAGGTTGACGGATGAAATTGCCATGGAATTGACAAGCTTGACATTTTCTAGCAAAATCAATACAGTCCTTCACCATTGTTGGCCAGTAGTATCCCATTCTTTTAATGCAAAAGTGTAATTTCGGGCCAGATTGGTGAGCACCACATATCCCAGAATGAGCCTCTTCCATTACTTGCATGGCCTCATCTTCTCCAAGACATCGTAGAAACACCCCATCGAAAGTTCTTCGGTAAAGCGTCCCTTTGTAGTAAATGAAACGTGGCGCTCGACGACGTATATCAACCCTTTTCTTGGGATCTTCTGGTAACTTCCCATGACTAAGGTAATCCACTATGAGATGACGCCAATCCTCCTTTTCGATCTCATGGACAAAAATATGATAAGTATTTTCTTCCTCACCATCGTCATTTTCATCAAACATCAGAGGTATGACCCAATTTTGGCATATTGAAATTTGATTTCGATGAGAAGGTAGAGTGATCATGGACGCCACCCTTGCCAAAGAATCAGCTTGTTGGTTGAAATTTCTTGGGATATGTTCTATAGTGACATTACCTAAATATCCCATGAGTTGCCTTGCATACTTATAATATGAGATCAATTCTGGTTTCTTGACATCATAAACACCAAGAAGTTGATTTACCACCAATTTTGAATCACCATAGACTCTAAGATGCAACTGCTTCATGTCTACAGCCGTTTCAAGACCGAGAATCAACGCCTGATATTCAGCCACATTGTTGGAACACCGACGTGTTAAAGTGAAAGAGTATGGCAATATATCTGCTTCAGGAGTATAGAAGACAACTCCCGCACCAGCTCCATCACGGTGAGCAGCTCCATCGAAATACATTGACCACGACGATTCCACCATAAACACTTCTTCATCGGGAAGTTCATCAGTCAACTCCCACTCGGCAGGTAGGAGATGATCGGCTAAAAAGTCTGCCAATATTTGTCCTTTGACAGCCTTCGCAGGTACGTAAATAATTTCAAACTGTTGAAACTGAAGGTACCATCTGGCGAGTCGATCAGACAGTACAGGTTTTGCCATGACATATTTAATGGGATTAGACTTAGATATGAGTCGAATAGTGTGCGCTTGAAAGTAATGTTTCAACTTCTGAATGACAAATATAAGTGCCAAACACAACTTCTCGATGGGTGAGTAGTTCAACTCATTTGATGTCATCATCTGGCTCAAGTAATACAGCGCATTCTCCTTACCTTCATCATTTTCTTGAGCGAGTAAGGCCCCAACCGACCGTTCTTGAGCGGAAATATAGAGAATCAATGATTTTCCTGGAATGGGCGCAGCCAGCACTGGGGGATTCATGAGATACGCCTTGATGCTTGTAAAAGCATTCCTACACGATTCATCCCACTCGAAGGGTACGCCTTTCTTCATCAGTCGACTGAAGGGTTGGCATCGTCCGGCCAAATTAGAGATAAACCTGCGGATATAAGCCAACTTCCCTTGAAGACTCTTCAATTCATGAATATTTCGCGGTTCAGGCATGTTCACGATGGCATCAATTTTAGATCGATCGACTTCTATTCCTCGCTGATGAACAATGAAACCGAGAAACTTGCCAGAAGTGACTCCGAACGCACACTTCAAAGGATTCATCTTCAGTTGGTATCTCCGAAGGCGTTGAAAAACTTTTCGAAGGTCTTGAATATGATCTTCCCGCTTCTTTGATTTCACCACAAGATCATCGACATAGCACTCCACATTTTTATGGAGCATATCGTCAAAAATTCTTTGCATTGCCCTTTGATATGTTGCTCCAGCATTTTTCAAGCCAAACGGCATTACTTTATAGCAATAAATTCCCTTGGGGGTGCGGAAGGCAGTTAGCTCCTCATCCTCGGGCGCCATGCGTATTTGATTGTAGCCAGATGATCCATCAAGAAAAGATAGTGCTTCATGCCCAGTTGTAGCATCTACCGTCAATTCTGTGATGGGGAGAGGAAAATCATCTTTGGGGCAAGCCTCGTTTAAGTCTCGAAAGTCAACACAAACTCGAATTTGCCCATTCTTCTTCCTCACAGGGACGATACTTGAAATCCATGTTGGATATTTTACTTCTCGTATGAATCCGGCTTCAATCAATCGATTTATCTCATTTTCTATCAGAGGAATCAATTCGGACCGAAAGCGCCTTTGAGTTTGCTTGACAGGTTTTGTTCCTCGCCTGACAGACAAATTATGAACGGCGACCCTTGGATCCAAACCAGGCATTTCTGAGTAATTCCAGGCAAAGACGTCCCTGAACTCGAGCAGCAAATCAACATACTCTTTTTCTTCTTCAGGAGTCATACAAGAGTTTATGTAAATTGGGCGAGGATCGTCGCTTGTGCCAAGGTTAATCTCTTTTAGCTCATCGACTGTATTCTTTACCCTTGTTCAAGTTCAGGAGGAGCGTCATCTGCATCTTCTTCTTCTTTTTCGGGATCACTGATCGTAATATGGTGACAGGAAGCCATACTTTCCTGACCCTGTTCCTCAAAAATGGTTTCAATTCTTACATTGAATAAGTCTCCATAGTGAATGAAGAAATTGGAGACCCGCTTTCTTGGTCCATTCTTCTTTATTGGAGTAAGACTTTCTTCCTTGGCAATCTGGTACTCTTGCTTTTTACTGCCTAATCTTTCATAGACAGGCGGCTTCAAATTTTTCGGCTGCGGACCAAGTCTGTCAAACACAGAAATACGCTTTGACTTATTTCCCAATCTATCGAACACAGATCTCCTTCGGCTTGTGACCTCCATTTTTTCGTTCACATAGTTACAACTCGCTCTTTTGATCATTATACGAACAGGAGAGGGCGGTTGATAACCAAGACCCATCGATGAACTTTCAACATTATAACCCTTTTCTTTCAACATTTTATGCGTAGGTGTCAATCCGTGAGTCTTCTCGCCAGTCACTTCAGGAGGGAGTTTGCCCAATGTATTCTTCTCATTTGGGTTATAACCCGCCTTAGCAAGAAGTCTATAGGCGTTTGGATCAAAACCTTCTTGAGTCCGATTAGTTGGTAGCGAGTAATATTCCACTGCCGGTTCTTCTTTGGGACGGACAAACCCTTGCAAGCTCACCTTCTCGATTTTGACAGGCTCTATCTTGGTGAGCGGAACATTTAATGTGTCATTTCTGATAAAAGAAGACTGACCTTCTTCTCTCTTTGATTTTGGAGTATACCGCAAAATGGGTACTTTGGAATCTTGACTTTCTTCCCTCACCGATTCCTTTCTTTTTGCTTCTTTGTGAAGATAAAATTTGGCGTCGGCAAAGTGAGTTTCGGCTTCCGTGAACGGTTTTTCGTCGGCAGTGACTTTCTTAACAATACCGTCTCGACAATACTTAAAACATTGATGCAGAGTAGATGGTATAATTTCATTTTCGTGAATCCAGGGCCTTCCCAAGAGCATGTTATAAGAGGTTTTGGCTTCAATGATATGAAATAACGCACTTGAAGACAGCTCACCAATGAGCAATTCAAGCCTTATGAGGCCAATTGCTCTTTGCCCCCCTTGGTTAAATCCTTGGATCATGAGGCGGCTCTGGGAGAGTTCATCACTTGAGATTCCTAACTCCTTCATAGCACGTACGGACATGATATTGACGGCAGATCCCCCATCAATGAGTATCCGATTCATCTTTTGTTCTCGAACATATGCACTAACAAACAAAGGTCGATTGTGGGTCTTGAACTCAACAGTTAAATCGTCATCATCAAAAATGATGGTCGTCGCACAATCCACCGGTGGTTTATCATCGACTTTGAGTTTTTTCTCAAATTCAGTGCCAATTTGTGTGACTTGAGGATTTTCAGCTTTGACGACATTACAAGAAGTGGAATTATCAGTATCGTCACTTAAATACCCCTTGGGTATAAATTCTCTCAATGTCACGGGCTGTCGAACCTCTTGAAGGAGTTGAAAATCTGACGAAATTGGTGTTGTGGCGACTCCCTTTTGTTTCTTTGTCGCACTTCGTCGTTTCATCGTCACTTTCGGCTTTGTCGAATGAATGCTTTTCGAAAAGATGTACTTCTTTATTTTTGGCTTGCAAGTCCTCTTCCGAGTGACTACAGTCCATCCTTCATTGTCATCTTCAATAACATCTTCAATTGAGGATTTTTCAAGCTCCTTGGACAAAGCGTTGCTTGTTGTGGATAAAACTTCTATCGGACAACACACAGACCCAAACATTATTGTGGTTTGGTTTGTCGATGCTTTATCCTCCTCGAGAAGAATTTTTTCTTGACGGGCTAATTCCATAATTTTGTCCTTAAAGACAAAGCATTTAGTGAGAGGGTGACCAATCAAGCGGTGATAACAGCAATAATTCGGATCATTGACTTGACCGGCTTCCTCCGGACGCTTCATTTCAGGAAGTTCAAGGAGTTTCTCCTTGAAAAGGTCATCAAACATCCCTTGTAAATCAGATTCAAGAAATGGGTATTCCTTTTCTTGCATCTCTTTTAAAGTAGGTCTTCTTGCCGACCTATTTTGAAAATAGTCTACTTTTTCGGTGATTTTTCGACTCACCTTGGTAGCAATTTTCATGGGGGCTGTGTTTATTGCCATGGACTCCTTATTACTGAATTTTGAAGAAGGCTTGCCCCCTTTTTTATTTTCTTGCCTTTCATTGCTTTGACGAGGCGGCTGCACTCGCGGAGCTTGAATAGGAAGCCCATCAGTTGCATTGGCCGTGATGCTTAACTCCATATCATGAGCGCGAGTAGCTAATTCTTCAAATGTATTTGGGCGTATACCTTGTAGAATATAGCTCAGGCTCCAATGCATTCCTCGGATGCACATCTCTATGGCAGATGGCTCAGACAGTCTATCCTTGCAGTTGAGACTCAGACTTCTCCATCTATCAATATAGTTGACCACAGGTTCATCCTTCCATTGACGAGTGTTAGTCAATTCCAGCATACTAACGGTCCTTCTAGTGCTATAGAAGCGATTCAAGAATTCTTGCTCCAGCTGTCCCCAACTGTCGATGGACCCCGGTGTGAGATCAGTGTACCAATCAAACGCGTTGCCCTTCAAGGATCGGACGAACTGTTTGACTAGAAGGTCGCCATAGGTTCCAGCGTTGTTGCAAGTTTCGACAAAATGGGCCACATGTTGTTTTGGACTACCCTTCCCATCGAACTGTTGAAATTTAGGCGGTTGATATCCAGCGGGCATTGCTAGGTTGTCAATTCTAGCAGTGTAAGGCTTGCAGTAGGTAAAGCTTGACTTTGAACCACCCTCCTTTTTATCTTTGATCACGCCTTCAACAAGCTCCTTTAATTGTTCCACGGGAATAGCTCCATCGGCGGTCACATATACTTCCTTCACCTTGTCTTTACCTTTTTCACGCTCTTGGTGCTCCTTACGATTCGCATGGCTTCCTTCAGGAGCATGATCTTTCTGGGTGAGCAGTTGAGCAATGAGAGCATCTTGGTCCTTGATGTGTTTCATCATGGTTTCCATCATCTTGGACATGTTCGAAACCTGCTCTTCGAGACTTAAAGTATTTGTCATCATGGCAGGCATTGCAGCAGAAGAAGCAGCAGAATCTTCAATAGAAAATCTTGAATGAAGAGTTTCATGCGAAGAGGCTGATCCAGTGCTTGATGAATCATCGTCATGCTTATAAAATTTGGGTTCGGACCCAAATTCGAGCATGGCAAGAGCCTTCTCAATCGAGGTGAAAACGTCTTGGACCCCCATCGTGGAGGAATAGCTCATTTATGATGTTGACCCGAAGACGGGAGTTGGCGCCGAGGGTTCCATGCTACTTTGGGTGGAGGCTCTCGTCATACTCCTTGTCACGGGGCCAATAACGCGGGTATTGGTGGCAACGTGTGCAGCTTCCTGAACAGGCTTAACATCAGTAGCCTTGGAACGTGCAATCACGATTTTGTTGCTCTTTGGTGCCATTGGTGATAGACGTAGTTGAATATTCGAGGAGAAGAGATGGAAGGTAGAGATGGTCCCACCGGGCGTGCCAAAAATTTGTACGCGATAAAATTTCAGTCTGCAAAACGACAAGAAAAATACACGACAAATATATAATATATAAATTTAGAAAAGTATGTAGGTACAATCTCTGGGGTTTTCTCGAACTTGTGGAGAGTTTCCCTCGATTCTTCTTCTCGAACACCAATCCAAGGGCTTCGCAGCTTGTTCTTGGATCCACCACCGATTCCTTCAAATCTTGATATAGAAGATTTGAAGAACTTTAGAAGATATTGGAAGACTCAAGTCTTGATATCTGGGAGACTTGGAGAGCTTGAAGAGCCGAACCTTTGTAGCTTGGAGCTTCAATGCTTTGAGCGTATATGATGCTCTTTGAAGTCCCTCTGTGTATTTTTTGTGTGTCTTTGATTTGGTTGAGAGACCTCTATTTATAACTGTAGCAAGGGGTAGAGGTTGAAGACCTGTGTACCACTTTACTTGTCTTGCAAGACGTGCAGTCATATTAGGACTGTGCTAGCCAAATATTATCTCTTCATTTTATATTTATTAATAAAGAGATAAGTAATTTCTCGATTGGCCAAACTCGTGGGGACACGTGACGTGGCGCCGTTTGACTGGCCAGGCTGTTGCAGTATATAAGAAATATACTTGGACTGAACAACTCTAAATATTATCCCTTTAATAAGAAATAAATATTTAGATATTTATCCAATAAACATGATATGATTTGGTTAGTGGAGATATCCCTGCAATTTGAATTGATCTGGGACACCTCAGCTTAACACATGGTGAAATATAATTGGTTATTTAACAACCAAATTTTCCAAGTGTACATGACATATGGCAATATCCAATTGGATAAAAATAAGCCATGAAAATGATTTATAGACCAATGGTATTTTTTAGAATTTAATTAAAATTCCATTGTCTACATAAGTCTTGTTAATTGCGTGGATTATTTTAAGAAATTTTCATATATGTATATTAGCATATATATATACCTGTTATAAGGAATTTAGGAAGATTTATGTCTGGATTAGTAGGAATATTGCGTTAATTTTAATTATGTGATGAAGTAGTTTTGTTTTTTTTTTTATGAACCCTAAGGGATCTTAAACTCACGTAAATATGTTGGAAAGATTTTTTTTTTTAAAAAAAGGAAATGCACCGTTGCTGAAGCTTCAAGCTTCAGCATACAAGAAGAAAAAGAACAAAGGAGGGCAACAGACCCTCCTCCCATACCAAGTCGCCGACAAATGCTGGCGACGTCAACCAGGCAAAAAGGTCGGCCAAAAGGCTAGCCAAGGAAAAAAATAGAGATAAAAGAACGCTGCTACT